TTTTTTATTAGATGAAGAAGTTTGATTTTTATCAATGGAATTCATTTAACAAATACCATTTTACAAAATCAATGGATAATTCATCAACAATTACAGGCATTATTGGAAAAATTGAATGATATAAGGTAAGTAACAATATATTTTAAGCATAATTTATTAAAATTATCATCTTTTTTTTATATTATAAATCTATATTACAGAATTTATGCTTAATATTTGCACTAAAACAAGTATCCAAATTTAAAAGAACTTAAAGAAGATATTTTAAAGGGATTTCATAATGAATCAAGTAGATAGATATACTGTATGTTTATAAATTTTTATTTATTATTGCATAATATACTAATTATTAATTTATAATTTATTCGTTAAAACAATTAGAGATCGATGAGGCTATATAACACAAAATAGTTTATTGGCTATCTTGATTTACCATGTGTTTAGAGTAAGATAAAGAAGTGTTTGTTACAAAAAGACTTTATGAAAAGAAAATGTAGAAATGTAGAAAATTTATTATAATTCTTGAAGTTTTCAAAAGTAAGGATTATACGCCTATTAAATCTGATAAACTATTTGTAGCAAGTGTAATTAAATTAGTAATGGAAGGTAAAATTGTTTCATAAGAAAATATTCAACAAAAAGAAAGGTTTAATCAATTATTGAATATTCATTGAGTTTTTAACGATATTTATTAAATTACTGAATGAAAAATTTAATAATTGCCTAATCATAACTTAGTAGTACTGAGGAGGAGATTATTTTACTTTCGAATTAAGAATGTAATATTTATAATAAATTTTCTTATAAATCAGAATTATAAATTATTACAAATTAATATTTAAATTAATGCTTATTAATCATTAGATTTAATATTTGCAAATTAATGTGAATTTTATATTTTTTTCATTTGTAATTGCTAAAAAATTAATTAGATTATATTATAGAATCATAAAACGTGAAATTGAATATTTAACTAGAATTTAAGATTTGGATATCATATTAAATAAATAGCAAGGACTCAATTAATATTGAATAAAAAATTTTTTATCATGGAAATTATTTAAATTAACAATGTGATAATTTAACGTAGATTAGTATAAGAATTTTTAATATTAATTTCACATTTTTTATACATTAACAAACAGTTAAATATTTATTGAATTTCCTTAAGAAATTTTTGAGATGAAATTTGCCTAATAATTATATTTCGCTTGTTTAATTACCTAAAAATTTGTTTCTTACCATATTATATCCGCCGATCTGCAGAATGCATGTGATAGTTTTGGCGCTGCTAGATGGGTTTTTTATATTCCGGATATATTATGATTTATTTAAATAAACATAATATCCAATGATTACTAGAGAATAAAATCACGCTGATAAGCATTCAGAATTTACATAAACTACAAACTTTTACGAATATTTGCGACACGTTACATTAAATAAGTAGTACACTCTTTTGAATGGAACGTTGGAAGTACAAATGCACGCTATTGTGTTACACACATTCCGATTATTTTTTTACTTAAATTCCGTCGTCATAAAATTAATATTTTCTTACTTCTTTTTGTAATAGAAAATATGGAAGGAAGTTCAAGTCAGGTAAATTATTATTTTAAGCAATATTAAAAAATTTAATCAATTACAAATCATTAAAACTAATTTTATATAATAATTATAGAGTGGAGGTACTTCTACCAATACTGCTCCTGGTAACTCAGAAAATAATAACTCTCTTTCGTATAAAACGATTTTGTATGAAAATATGTACAACAATCGTATCCTTCTTAAATTAGAAGAAGATGGATTCATCACGCCTGATGAAAAGTCAAAAGAACTTATTAAGGAACTATCAGAAATAAAGTATTTATATGCTTTGAAGGTGCTTTTTGAAAACTTACAAAATGAGTTTTCATCTCAAGTTTTAGCAAATTTATTAGAAGCTTTAGTTGATACTCCTTTTAATCATTATTCAAAAGAAAGTGTAGCTAGATTAGAATTACATTTAAGAACTTTGGTTACCGTCTTAGAACGGATATGTTTTTCACCAATAGTACTTAGTAAAGAACTTCGAGATAAAGTTTATAATTCTTTAGCAAAATTTGCAGAAATTCATCGTAAAACAACTCAAGTTATCGAAA